AGTACATTCCTTCTTCATCACAACCTCATATGAGACATATTCTTTAGAATGTGGACAATACTTGGCCACAAACTTACAAATACAGTCATATGAGCTTACCCTAATTTATCTGCGAAGAATGAAATAGAACGGAGTCAAGTCTATCGTTGACTAATGATACCCTCAATGAAGAGGGATGATCTGTTCTATATATGATCTTTCAATGTATCATAATGTTATTTTTTCATTTCACCGGTTTGAGGTATTTTCATTAACATTCAAAGTTGATAAAGGGATCACATTTCTTTTGGCTAAAATTCCATTCCTAATTCGTTTGTGAAAAACTGGAAGAATGCTCTTGTATTTTAGAAATGCTTACGGAATACACATGTCAGATACAAGTCCGAGTTACAAAACCTTATCAGTCAGCCAAGCTCGTCCAAAGATATGATCATTTATTTTGGTAGCAACACCTTTTTTTTCTACAAGATGCATATAATGGTCTCATTGGCGTCCCGTGCAAAATAGTAAACATCACGAAAATCGACTTTCATACAATCAGTGAATTACTGAATCTAAAATTTATAGGTCACATCTGGCAGATAACAACCTTAAAGGACATGAATGTTGACAATTCCGGGGTCCGTATTTCGCAGTGCCTGAAAGGGCGGATGGACCCTTATTAAGCATAGAATACATACATTCAAACAATCTGATCACCTCGGCTATTATCCTTCGCAATACACTTTGGACATATGAAGGCGACATATTGGAACTACTTTTAGTCACATTGTTCAAATGACGGCCTATGCGCCACCTTTATGACGAAAGTGATGGAGAATAGAAGCAAGAATAATAACAGTGATATTTTGAAATTGATAACAATTTCCCTTCTAACTCTTGTCTAAAGTTATAGATATGTAAGCTCGTATAGAAATGTTTCATCAGAATATCATTTTTCATTATGTTGTCCCTTATATTCAGAGCTAAGAAACTCTTATATAAAACATTTATTATTTCCAACTGTAGGTAAGTTCTATTACATTATGTCATTCGGAAATACAGGTAATTATTACAATTATGTTAGTTTCAAAATTTTAAATTAATACAAGAATTTTAAATCTACAAGTAATATATGTATATTTTTTGCATTATGTATATACATTAAATGTGTGATTTTTGTGTATGTCATATTTCATTTTGTATTATATACCACAAAACAAATACCCGCACACACTCGCACAAAAAACCCCCAAAAACACAAAATACCTGCGCATAACTCAAATCTCAAGTTTATAGATATTCTATTGAACAGTTTTAATTCTGCTTACATATCTATATAAAAACTCCCGAAAAAATGTCCTTTATGTACTGTATGTTATCCCAGACGTGCATAAATTTGTTTACTTGAAAATGTACTTAAAAATGATTAAATGATCATTATCTATTGTTGTAATGGGTTATTTTGACTTCTTGCAGTAACGAATCATTAGTTTTATTATGTTTTAATTACTGATAGTAATCGCTCTGACATGCAGTTTTTATTAGAATATTGTATCGCATTCGCATTTAATGTACTGGTTTGCTATTTTCACAAAATGCACGTAATCCTAAGCCTAGATATATATTTCTTATCTTTTTAACTTTATTTACGAAGCACGCTATTCAATATCGAGCTGAAAGATTGTACAAAAAAACTAAATTGTCAATAAATATATATTTTACCTTTAATATCTACATGTATATCACACTGATAATGCATGTAATGAGATTACAAATGTTTGTCAATTGACAAGAAGCGACGCGCATTCGCGCACGCTTTGAAAACGTACAGCAATTGATCGCATGATCATGTCATAACTTTCTGTAAGTCAGACAAGACGGAATTCGCAATGTTTATAAGTTATTATTTTTATTAGAAAATAAAAAGTAAGTGAATAAGTTTTGTTTTAAACGAAATTAATATTATGTTGTGAAAAAATGATCTGTTAAATTTTAGTTAAGGTAAGCTTTTCTTGTTTAATAATAAAACGTTATCAATAAAACATATTGTGAAACTACTTTCTCTTTTTATGTTATAAATTATACCTCTCTATAAAAAACGAGAATGTATCTTAATATAATTCTAGAAATACGTTTACTCAAAGACATAAAGTTATGATTCTTTTTTCAAATTACAAACAATTAATGATTCATGATTGATTGATTGATTGATTGATTGTTTTTTTAAGATGAAAATGCTACAAAAAATGACACAACTACGAACTTCAGAAAGTTTATTCAACATAAAACATAAAACAAATGCATTGCCAATATAACATACATGTACTTTATATACGGATTTATTAACTTTAGTCTAACTTGCAAATATCTACAAAAACATGCGCATTATTATTGTCATTATTATTATTACATTTACTTAAAAAAAAAACACATGGATATATTATCAGTGCTATGTAACAAAACTTTAAAGGAAATAAAAACAATGTTTACTTATTGTTTTGCTTTACCATTGCAATATAACTTCGGATCATGAAAATAATTAAAATAATTTCTAATTTACTTAAATCTTATTGTTGAACAATCCCAACTTTCATAGTACACACTTTAACATTAGGAGTCGAAGAATCATGCACCACGGGGCCTCAAGGTGTCTAGAAATTATCTTTATTCATCATGCGGTTGAGAAGTTTTTTTGGTCTAACTGATTTGCTTACATCTTGTCACTCACCGTACAAACAAATATTTTTATCAAAAAGATTCTGAGACATGAACCAGGTTCATTTGCAAAGAAAGGATTCATGTTTCGATCAATTTATCTCAATGTCAATGAATGAAGTAAACAGAAAAAAGAAAATTATTAGAACTTGATAGATAATAATTGACTTTTATATTCTCCCTCGTCATTTTAATTTTTTATCATTCTCTCAAATTCAAGAAAAAAATAATTTACTTCTAATAGATACGTAAATAAATAAATAATTAAATAAATAATTATAGAAGGTTCTGTAATGATATTGGATAAGTTCTCCTTAAATCTTTACGACCTTCGAATCATACTGGTTCGAATTTATGAGCCCCTATTGAATTTGTTATTTCTTTTCTAACAGTTATCTATTGTATAATAGTTTGGAGACTTTTCTATTTAAAATGTGTCAGAGTTAATTCTAAACCCATGTATGCACAGTGCGTTAACTGTAGTGCATGTATTAGTTACCCAAGCCATACTCTAGTTACCGCACTGTATGGCGGAAATAAACATAGAGCATGCTACATTTGCATGCTACATTAACTGGCTAAAATTCGTTTTCTGGGATTTCCTTATTATGTTATGTAAGTCACTGCAGTATATTTCAATTGTATTTTATTTACAATAATACTCTTTGTGTATGATTTTTAAAATTATGAGCAAATCAAATATTCAGGCCATGTAAGTTATCAATGTTTAACTTGACTTATGGCTACTTCCGAGATTAAGTTCCGTATGCAAATATTGGTATGTTTGAATAATTTTTTCTTGCCTTCTATTATTTGTAACTTTTTTGGTTGTTGTATGTCAGATTTTAACTATATTTTGGTGTTTGTAAAGATAAATTTTGTAATGAACAATTAAATTTTTTTTGCAGTTGTTTAATTTTCGATTTTTACTCGTAAAGGCAAAACCTCCGAAGAACAATACAAAACATCTAATTATGCAGAGTTCAATTATTGAATATTTACGTTTGAGAATACGAGGAAAGTTCGGAGATTTGTACAAATCGGTGTTTAACACTAACAGATTGGAAGATTATTTTGACATTACTTTTCAATATAATCCATCTTTCATTCAATGCATTTGGTCAATTTTTCTCGTAAGCAGTCTATGAAGTAAAAATTGTGTGTTTGGTACTCAAAGCAAGCCTCTGTAGCATCTTCCCGAAATCTCGGTCCACTCAAGTGGGACTTCCAATTTCGGACGGATCACTTGGAGCTAGGCCCTGACTGTATGTCGAGTGCACTCATGACAAGATGCTTGTGCAACTCTTGACTTATGCACAGAGGTTATATCATTGTAAAGAAGGATACCAGCCACAAGTTTCTCCTTCCGCTTTTCATAGATAGCAAGCACAACCTTAATTGTTCAATAAGATTGGCACAGTATAACAAACAGGCTTGTAATATATCAATATTATCACTTTGGAATCATAAACAACCGTGACTGAAGGTTGGGTACAAAATGTCTTACGTTGGTTGAGCCACTGCGCTTTCATTGCATGGGTCTGGGTCTCAGTGGTTAAACACATTCCTTCTCCTGTTACAAGTTGTTATCGGTGAGTATGAAAGTCTTCTCAGTTTGCATTGTACACAGTGATTTCAATAAGCTCTTGACTTTACTTTTCTCTTTGCTGACGGACTCGCAGGTTTCTGGGTTTCCACCAGGAAGAAACTTATCACATGCCAAAATGTTCAAGGATTATAATATATATACTTTCATGAGTAAAACTACATTTTGAGGCAAATTCGTCATCTTTGATTTGGCGATCATTCAGCAGGGTTGATCTTCTCATGGCCGATGACATCAGCAGGGCGACCTGGCCTTAGGTCATCTTCTTAGGAGTTTCACCAACGTTTATATTTTGCTGACCATTCTGTCACTGTGGAATACTTTTGCCTACTATCACCAAACAAATCAGCCAGTGTGTGCCGAGTCATTTCAACCAAATTTCACGGACCTCCGGCGTGTTATTGATCAGATGTAGACGTCCGGTCCACAAAGTATCTTCATTGATAATATCTATGTATGAGAACATTCTGCAGCTGGCGGGAATGCAAAGTATTGAAACAACATCAAATATACTTCTTTTTGCATTTGTTTTACTCTGCGGGTGTACATGGTAACTCTCTTTGTTATGTTTGTGTTCTGTAACAAACTGCGATGACGTTTCGTTTTACATATAAATAATACAATATTTAAAACGAATATTTTGAAATTCATAATTCTTACTGACAACTTTTTCTAAATTTGTAGCACACACATAATTACAGGTTATAGACGGAATGATTAAAATGGACTGAAGTTACTACTACATGTACTAAAACATCGACAAGCTAGTTCTCAATACAATGGCGAGTAATCCGAGATTTCAGGCCAGTCTGATTTCAAAATTGTTTTTCTGGTAAGTCAATTTAAATCAACTGGACGATATGTTATATAAAGTATATTTATTGGTTAGTCTAAACAAGTGATCTGAACTGAAACATTATGTTCTCAAAGATTATTTAAAGGTTAAAAATTCTCCTTGGTAATAGTGAAGACAACAAAAATGTGTCTTTTATTTACTTCTTTGAAATTTAACCGGTATAGTCATGCATATGGTTATCTTATAGCCAATTAACATTATTTTGCAAGGAAAACATTTCATATGTGATATCATAATCTTAATGTTTTAAGTTTTGTTTTGAAGCAGGCAAGCAATGTTCTTTTGAGACGACTTGTTGTAAATATGTGACAAGTGCTCAAGTACTTGATGAAGTCGCACGCATTAAATATACCGCTGTGAAATATAAGAGCGACCAAGCGTCAGATCAACTTATCCCTAATATTGTAGATAAGACAATTTGTCTTGACGGTGCATGTTTTAAAAACATGTGGGGGAGCAAGTTCGTAGTAGCACTTTCATTTTTTATCTAACAGGTGTTTGTTTACAAATGTTTATCAAAAATATATCACTTGATAGCGCCATATCATATTTTATTATACAAAATTTTGTTTATTGATTAATCTGTAGGTGGCTGAACCCTATCTTTGAGAAAGGATTTAAAAACAATTTAACAGAAGATGATTTGTATGACATAAGCAATGATGAAAGTTCAAAGTATCTTGGAGACAAACTAGAAAGGTAAAACAAGACTTGTCTGCTAATATATTTCATCTTTATCATTATTTCTTAATTTGAACTGTATTATATTTGTGTCCTTAAAGAGAAATGAGAAACTGATGAGATTTTTTTTGATTATACGTTGAACTATCACTGAGGTCATATGTCGACTGTCTAGCTTGAACAAGATGATATGTTTGACATCAGCGACGATGAAAAATCAAATACTCTTGAAGACAAACTATAAACATAGATAGGACCGTCTGTCAAAGCAGTCGTTTGTGCTTAAATAACAGTTTCACCCTTTTAACAAATGATAAAGTTATTATTTTTTTTAAAAATGGACAATTGACATGTCGTCTTTTATATGTTTTCGTGACAGAAGCAATAACAAATAATTTATTATTCACGAATCTTTTAAAAGGACGCACATAGATTAACGTTGGTATATGTAGGAAAGACAGGTTGTGACATTTCAACTTCTTTAATTCTCTGGTTCATCTCAACGAATTTCAATATAAAGAATTCACAAATTCAAGATTTCAACTTCATGAAACAACGATATAAATTCTACGATTTCAACTTCAACTTTGTTGTAGACACGACGTCAATTAACGTCGATTTCTTTGCGCGCAATCTATGTTTATAATATCAACGTAACGTCACTTCCTATGTATGTACACATTCATTGTTAATAAAAGAAACAAACCGTTTACGACGGCTAGTTTTACTCACAATCACGTCCTCACTGTAAATTTAGTAGCAAACGACGGAATGTTAATCCCAATCCGAGTATTGATTGTTCCCGTGATAGTAGAGAGGCCATCAACAATGTGTATCCATCGAACACTTTATATATCTACAAGGACTCAAACTTGCTCACCCTGTTACCATGGATACCACATTTGATATATCACTTTTAGTTGGCGCTGATTTTACGAGCAGATACATTGTAGTTGACGACAATATTATTGGATGTGATAGACCCACTGCTATAGGCTCTCGCGTTGGTTACTTCTTGTCCAACCCACTTCTTGTACAAAGTAGTTGTTATGGACGTCATAGTAACCCATGTATCTGAAACGACAGACCTCACTTGATTTATAGATATAGAATCTATGGGTGTTTCAAAAGGAGACTGTGAAGATACTGATACTTCTTATTAACGACAGTACCAGAAATTGTGTATTTCATTCTCAGATGGATATTACACAGCGACGATGCCATGAAAACAGAGCCACGAAACCCTCCGTTCTAAGTATGACCTCACAAAGAAAAGAACAGACAATAAAACGCCTTTGTCAGAAGCCTAAATACTAATGAAATATAACGATATTATACAGGAACAAAACAATAAAATAGATTTCTTTGAAAGAGTATATGAATGTTCCACAGCGAAACGCGTGCATTATATACCCCATCATGGAGTTGATAAAACTTTCAAAACAACGCCCATACGAATAGTCTATGACTGTCAAAAAAGTGCGGGTTTACATAACTGCCTTGAATCAACACCTCCAAAGCTGAATTATCTCATAACCTTTCTGTTAGATTTTAACTTGGTAGATATGCAGTAGAAAGCCTTTCTACATGTTGGTCTACACAAAAATAACAGAGATGTTCCCAGATTTCTATGGTTATCAGACCCTATAGATCCCAAGAGCCAGCTTGTGACATATAGATTTCGAGTTGTCCTTTTGGAGCCACATGTTACCCGTTTATTCTCAATGCTACATTACTTAAACACATGACCCTGAATGCAAGTAACCTTGCCTCAGATATAATTACCAGAAACCTTTATGTCATTTATGTGTGATTTCAAGTTTTCAACAAGAACAGGCGTTTCTTACCTATATCCGGTACGCATGTGCTCTCATGTCACAAGCATGATTAAAGTTGCAATCGTGGACGTCAAACTCCAGTAAAATACGTTAACTTGCACTAGCTGAAAAAGTCTTGGACAAGGATAAAGTTGTCAAGGTATTAGGAATGTTATGGAACCCGGACGTTGACGAGATGCAGCGTAGGATAGTACACTCTGAGAGAACGACCAAACGTTCTATTCTCAAACAGACTTTTTCAAAATTATATGACCCCCTGGGATTGCTTGGTCAAATGATTGTTCGTGCCAAATTACTAGTTCAAGACCAGTGGAAGAAGAAATTTTATTGGGCACTCCACTTCCGGTTGATATCATCAACATCTGGGCTGATTCGAGCAACGACCAGAACAGCGTAATTAAGACTAAGTTCAAGAGACCATGTTTCCCCGCCACTGAAAATACAGCTTATCCCACCGATATTGATTTATGCGTGTTTGTCGATGCACGTGCACGTGGTTATGGAGCTGTAGCGTATCTTACTAACGGTCATACCGCTACCCTTGTATTTGCAAAGAACAGAGTCGCACCTGTCAAAGAGATAACTTTACCAGACTAGAACTGATGGCAGTACTCATCGGTGCACGTGTCATCCAGCACGTGTCATTTTCAGCCACGTGCAGGAAAACACATCTTTGTCCGACAGTCAAATAGACTTAAGTTGGTTGAAATCTACAAAGACACTTTAACGCTTCATTATGAACAGTGTGGAAGAAATAAAAAAACTTACCCCCGATATTATATGGTGATATTGTCCAACATCAAATACAAACTAGAGGTCTTACTGCGGCCCAGTTACAATCAAGCACATTATGGAAAAAAGGGCCTACCTGGTTAGTCAACAACAATAAATGGCCGGCTTTGGAACACACCAGGACAATCACTTTCACTATTGTGACAGAGCAAAATTCAGAGGAAGAAATTATATCTGTCAAAAGAGGTAACTGGTTCACGTTTAACAGATATAGCAGCTATCAGAAGTTATTACGTGTTACAGCATACGTAATACATTTCTCTTAAAACGTATAATAATCGCCAAAGTGGTTCATTTTCTACAGAGGAGCTGGGGTTATAGAATGTAAACTTATTATAACTTGCCACCAGAAGTAATACAAGATTTAAGATCAAAGAAACAACAAAGTCTGATAATTAGGCAGCTAAGGCTTACTTAGACATAGAATGTTGTATTCGTTTGACGGAAGAATACATAATGCACAGTTGCCCGAGACAACAAGATTTCTGTACCTAATGTCCCCAAAATGTCATGTCGCAAGACTGATAATCGAAAACACTCATTGGAGAGGTCATCAGACCTCTCCACAGTATTCAGAGTGATTGCTGGCGGCATCCATTTTTGGGTATCTGATTGTAGTGAACGAATCTCATTTAAAGTGTGAAATCATTCTACAAATATTGTTTTGCGCATGCTCCGTTTCAAAATACGACTTAACTTAAACGAAAAATTAACATCGAAATGAACAAATCGGTACATAGAAAATCGGAAAATATAATTTACGTTACTTAGCGCTACGTGGATGTTTCATTCCGTTTTAATCTTTTATATTGTATAAATGTTTACTGAATAGCGGTTTTCTATTGCATGTTCCGATAAATAGTAAAAGTGAACATTACAGATACAATATCACCATACACTATTATATGACCGGAGGTTCTGGATACCGTGAATTAGACAGCACGTAAAAATTGTCCTCCGAAGATGTGTCATTTGCAGAAAAGTTACAAGAAGACAAAAGAACACCCTAGATCCCCCACCACTTCCGGTTTCCAGAGATAACGTCAATCCACCTTTCTCCGTAACAGGTGTCGATTTCACAGGAGCACTTAACATTAAAGAAAAGCAAGTTCATCAAGAGGTATACATATGCCTATTCACGTGTGCCAAAACCCTTTCACCTAGAAATAGTTTCAGCCCTACAGAAAAATCTTTTTTGTAAGCTTTCAAACGATTCATTAGCAGACGATCATTACCAAGACTGATGATCTGACACGAGTATCTGACGTAATTCAGAGAATACTAACGGTCGAGTGGTACCCCAAACCAGATTTTTCAAGTTGGTCACGTTGTTATTGTCCAAAAAAGAGATAAATACAGAATCCCCAAAGAAAGCCCAACACGGCAAAATTGAAAATGTTGCAGGCTCGGTTTGATTGAGCCTGTTCATGGACGGTACTGGAAAGTGCAAGTTACCGTCCACGCCCCCTAGCACCGGCTTAAGCAGAATTCAACATTTAAACGTGAAATAGTAAAATTTTGAATTTAGAAACATCCGCAGATGTGTTCATACGGCGGTTATCATGGAATCTTCAATGTGACACTTCCGTGCCATTCCATGAAAAGCGGCGTATGGTCCCCAAGTAATAAAAAGCGTGTGCCCTAAACGAGAAAACAATGGGCGGAACTAAATAAAATGGAATTTTGAAAGGGGATCAGAGGTTATGAAGCCTGCGTATCACAGATAAGACGTCAAAAGACAAATTTAAAAAGCAGGCAACATATCCTAAGGGTGATTCAACATTATTCAAGTAAAAATATTGGAACCACCCAACTAGAAAATGCCGAAAAGTTGAAACTAAAAATACCACAAGCACAACAATAATGTCGTGCTGAACGATCTTTAAGGATCGAAAATATAACATCATTGATTAAATGTACGGGGAGACTTTTTACAGCCGCCACACGGCACAAATAACACGGATGTGATCATAAAAGAGATAAAAACAGAATCCCCAAAGAAAGCCCAACACGGCAAAATTGAAAATGTTGCAGGCTCGGTTTGATTGAGCCTGTTCATGGACGGTACTGGAAAGTGCAAGTTACCGTCCACGCCCCCTAGCACCGGCTTAAGCAGAATTCAACATTTAAACGTGAAATAGTAAAATTTTGAATTTAGAAACATCCGCAGATGTGTTCATACGGCGGTTATCATGGAATCTTCAATGTGACACTTCCGTGCCATTCCATGAAAAGCGGCGTATGGTCCCCAAGTAATAAAAAGCGTGTGCCCTAAACGAGAAAACAATGGGCGGAACTAAATAAAATGGAATTTTGAAAGGGGATCAGAGGTTATGAAGCCTGCGTATCACAGATAAGACGTCAAAAGACAAATTTAAAAAGCAGGCAACATATCCTAAGGGTGATTCAACATTATTCAAGTAAAAATATTGGAACCACCCAACTAGAAAATGCCGAAAAGTTGAAACTAAAAATACCACAAGCACAACAATAATGTCGTGCTGAACGATCTTTAAGGATCGAAAATATAACATCATTGATTAAATGTACGGGGAGACTTTTTACAGCCGCCACACGGCACAAATAACACGGATGTGATCATAAAAGAGATAAATACAGAATCCCCAAAGAAAGCCCAACACGGCAAAATTGAAAATGTTGCAGGCTCGGTTTGATTGAGCCTGTTCATGGACGGTACTGGAAAGTGCAAGTTACCGTCCACGCCCCCTAGCACCGGCTTAAGCAGAATTCAAGACGACTTTACACCCAGACTACAATAAACCTTGCGGTATTGATGAACTTAAACAGAAATATGACGGGTTTTCGAGGGCCGCGGGGATACGTACATCCACAGGGCTGACTACACGACCGATTGTCAAATTGTACCCGTTGGAAATAATCCAGAAACTAGATGAATAAACATTACAATACGAATTAAAATACTTATACTATTTGTTTTCGTGAAAAACAATCCAATTTGTTGTGCAAATAATATAAAACAGGGATTCTACATAACGCTAATCTGTGTGCTGATATATCTAACTAGAGTGCTTAATTTCAAAACGATTTTAAAAAGTAATTTCATTCGTTTATGTTTTTGTATCACGTCCTCTGTGAATTTTCATTTGACCTTGATATTTTCAGACCATGTCGGAATGCTTTTCCCACATTCTATCATATACCAGTATATTAAATGTTTTGATTCGTTGTTTTAACCTAATAGCTCTTATATTTACGTTTTCAGAATATGGTCGGAACAAGTAAAAAATTGTAAACAAACGAAAGCAAAACCTAAGCTGTATAAGTCATTGATTTCGACATTCGGTAAATCGTTCGTCTTGTATGGATTCTTGTTATGTTTTGAGGTATTCAATAAACTATTGTGACTATATAAAATAGAGAAAATAATAATCCCTAAAGAATGCCCAACACGGCAAAATTGAAAATGTTGCAGGCTCGGTTTGACTGAGCCTGTTCATGGACGGTACTGTAAAGTGCAAACTACCGTCCACGCTCCCTAGCACCGGCTTAAGCAGAATTCAACATTTAAACATAAAATGGTAAAATTTTGAATTTAGAAACATCCGCAAATGTGTTCATACGGCGGTTATCATGGAACATTCAATGTGACACAGTTGTGTCATTCCATGAAAAGCGGCGTATGATACTGCATACTGAAAGGTGTCTACTATTCATAAGTGGGTGTACAAATCATTTCGTCATAACTTTGGTTAGATTTTTCATATAGTATCCAGAATAAGTAAGTTTCATTTTTGTCTAAGTCCAAGATATGGTAAAATTTACATAAGTGAAACATGTTAATGAATATACAAGTATATTCTTTCTACAAAAATGACAAGAATTATTTCATGGCTACTGCTGTCAGGGTGATCGATGTTTTGTAAAAGAAACAACATTAACTGAAATTAAAATGTATTGAATAACAATAAATAGGAAGTCATGATTGTAAATATACAACAAAGTCATGTTTTCAATGATTTTATCTGAAATCGGATTCACAACATGTTTAAATGCAACAAAGAGAATGCGAGCTTAAGATTCTTTTAAAAATATTTCAAACCACTTTTATTGTACAGTTTTGATTATAAGATGCTCAAGGTAGTTTGAAAAAATACAATTTAGATTTTTCCATAAATTGGACTCTTTTATAGGAAGCTGTTGTCATACTACAGCCTCTTCTTCTCAGCGGATTGATAAGATACTTCACGAAAGATGCACCCTTTGTTTCCGAAATAGAAGGTTATATGTATACAGGAGGTATAGGATTGTGTGCTCTCATCTTGGCTTTCACACATCATATATATTACCTAGGCGTTCAGACGATCGGCGTCAAAATGAAAATAGCATGCTCGTCCCTTATTTACAGACAGGTAAGTGTACAATATTTAAAATAAACAGAAAAAGAAATCAATTATTACTAACAATGCAAACACTATATGCTTTCATTGTATGACTGTCAAGCTTTGGATAAATTTATGTCTTTCTTATTGATATTCTGAACGGTACTTGTTGATATTACTTATGAATTGCTGAAATTCTAGACTTGCTGCACAAGTTGGACATTCTGCAGTATTGAACTTGTTACACAGCCTAGATTTTTTTGCGCTAATTGGACTTGTTGCACAATTCAAACTTGCTGCACAACCTTGCCTAGCTGCACTCCTTAGACATGTTGGACAAGTTAGACTTGCTGCGCTCCTTAGACTTAATGCACTCCTCGTATTTTCTGCGCTCTTCGGGATTGCTTCTTTTTCTGAAGCGGACCTCTCTAAGACTTTCTTCTTTCCTGTAAAGCGGACCTCTCTTAGACTTGATTCTTTCTTTGGAAGCGGACATCACTAAGACTTTTTCCTTTTCTGGGGAAGTAGACGTCATTACGACTTTCTTCTTTCCTGGGAAGCGGACTTTCTAAGAACTGTTTCTTTCCTTGGAAATGGACCTCATTAAGATTTGCTTTTCCTAAAAAGAGGACTTCAAAGAATTGCTTCTGTTTTGGAAGCGGACTGTTTCTTATGCTCAACTCATCTCTATAAAGTAGATCGTTTTCTAGACTTATTTGCTTTATTTTTTCTCACTTTTGTTTTATTTCGAATTTCATTTCATATAAATGTACAACGTGCGAATTGGATAGCACGCCACAAAATATGGAGGACATTTGTTTCTCTTTTTTCAAACGAAATGGCTATTGTTGCAATGGCAGGGGCATAAAAAGGTTATTTCAATATTGATGTGAATATTCTTCAAACATTTTACTGTTAAACGTGATTGAAAAGAAGTAACTTCAATCATTTTGAAATATACAGCGATACAATTTCAAATTGTTTAAAATATATTTTCAACTGTTGAAATAAAGTGTATACTAGTATTTTGCTTTATTTGTCATTTGATTTTGTATATTTCACTTTCTTGATTTTAGACATTACGATTAAGCATTGATGGTCGCCGGGAAACTACCACAGGACAAATAATTGACCTTCTTTCCAATGACGTTTCAAACTTTACACAGGTATTTAACTTTGAAAAATGAATAATAAAATTCAACGAAAGTGTATAAAGCTATATCTAAATAAAGCTATATCTAATGAAGTATTTTAGCTCACCTGAGCTAGGTTAGAGTGATCTTTTAGGATCGTTGAATGTCCGTCGTCCGTCGTCCATCCACATTTGTTCGTTAACACTGTAGCGGTCACATTTTTTACTCAATCATCATCAAACTTTGTCAGGATGCTTGTCTAGGTAATAGCTCGGATGAGCTCGAACATGGGTTATCTCGGATGGAAAACTAGGTCACAGAAGCTAAAAATGAAAAACATTGTAAACACATTAGCGGTCACATTTATGACAAAATCATCATCAAGCTAAAAAAAGAAAAACGTTGTTAACACTAGTGGTCACATCTTTGACTCAATTGTTATCAAACTTGGTCAGGATGCTTGTCTAGGTTATTGCTCGTATGAGTTCGAACATCTCGGATAAAAAACTAGGACACAGAAGCTAAAAATAGAAAATCTGTTTACACTCTAGTGGCTACGGTTTTAAACGAAATATCCTGAAAATTGGTCTGTAAGTTTGTTTTGATGTTTTCTAGGTCAAGTTTGAATATGGGTCACCTGGGTTCAAAAACTAGGTCACACCGCCCAGATATGGAAAAACCGTGTAAGCTATCTAGTGGTAACATTTTTGACTCAATTGTCATCAAACTTAGCCAGGTAATTGCTCGTATGAGTTCGAATATTGGTCATCTTGGATGAAAGCTAGGTCACAGGAGCTAAAAATAGAAAAATCGTGTTAACACTCTAGTGGCTTCTGTTTTGATCCAAATATCCGGAAATTAGTAAGAAAAGTTGCTTTTGATGATTTCTAGGTCATGTTTGAATATGGGTTATTTTGGCTCAAAAACTAGGTCACACTGCTCAAATATGGAAAATCCTTGTTAACACTCTAGTGGTTACATTTTTGACTCACCTGTCATGCAATTTGGTCAGAATGCTTGTCTAGGTAATGGCTCGGATGAGTTCGATGCGTCAGGTGAGCGATTTCGGGCCATTTTGGCATAATTGTTATGAAACTCATATTAAATTTATTAAATTTTAAAGTATATGTTGTTTCCATTTGATTTAAGATTGATTCTTCAAAGAATTCTACCATAAAAATGTTTACAATCAACACATTTATACAGTGCGTCAACGGAATAAAATGTTTCGGAACAAAATATTATGCTATGTTATTTAAGTAAGTTTTTTTTTCTAATCGTTTATGCATCCGCCTGTTGTTCGAAGGATATATTTCTTTTATTCATTTTTGAAATTATTCGTTTTCAGAATTCAAACGTTAATTTGGTAAACTGCCGGCAGCAGCTATATTGCTTTAAACACTTAATTGAAACAAACAAATTCTATCATTAAACGATTTTGTATCAAAGAAACGCATCTGCTTTAAGCAAATAAATTATTTAGAAAAATAAAGGTCAGTTCAAAATGCAAATAACTGTCATTATTTACAGCTGATGACAATGCTACATTTTCTTTGGATCGGCCCTTTGGAGATTATTGTGGTTTTAATAATCTTATGGATTGAAATCGGACCACCCGCTGTGGCAGGATTCGTAGTAATGTTTTTAATGGTCCCCGTAGTACATTTAATGGGAGGCCTGATTACAAAATACGAGTAAGCATTAACAAAACATACGTTACTGCATAATCGCATAACCATATACTTAATTCCACTTATTGTATTATTTTGAAAAATGTGTTTGACACTGTCCAGTCAATGTTTAAGCTACTCTCCTACGCATCGGTCGATTTTTCCACTTTCGCTCACTGAGCTGCAAAGAGAGCGTATGCTTTAGCTAGTCGAATTTTGTATTTTTGTTAGTTATAATAATGTATTATAGAGTGGAATAGTATTTCAGAGACAGAACTATGGAAACTGATGGATTGCTCTGTAAAATTTTTGCACAGGACCACTGATTACCAAAGGCATCGGCATAGCACTATATTGTAATAAAGCCGATCTTTGTTTTGTTTTTAACAAAAGTACCTAATAAAGTAAATCACGATGATTACATATAACACTCATATGACTATTAACTTACAGGAAATTCTCGGTGAAGCACAGAGACAATCGTATCAGTAGTATTACTGAAATCATTAGGGCAATAAAAGAGGTCAAACTATATTGCTGGGAAAAACTATTCGGAGATGAATTGAGGGAGGAAAGAAGGTAACTGTCCAATTAGTTTTCATCATGCACATTCATTTTATCATAAATAGCATTTGTCTTTTATTTAATTTTCTAGTTACTGTAGCTTTCTTTTTTTCATTGGCACAGTTTTTTCTGAGGGTTTTATATTTTGAAGCTTTCATTTGGTTCAAGGTACGTTGATTACTTCTGGTAAACGAATGCAGTTTCAAACAGTTTTTTTCAAGTAATGCATAATTTTAATATAAAACATTCTGTCACATTTCCTAATGAAAGTTGAAGGACAGAAAACAACATTTTTTATCATCATTGATTAAAGCATCAAGCCATATCTAAATAGTATAGCTTCACTGTTTATTATTATCAGAAAAGGTAAATAAATGTAACAATGACAATTGTATACATATACGTAGCATATGAAATAGAAAAGATATATGGGTTCTGATGTGTATGCGTTTGTGAGGAGTTGCCTAGTGAGACATTTTAAGGGAAACAAAATTATACACTCAGCAAAAATAGAAACCTGACAGTGTATATTTTATTATTATTTTCAGGAAATCGATAAAGAAAATGTAAAAACGAATGTTGGGCTTGAAAGAGAGATGCATGCACAACATTGATCTGCATTTTGTTGTTTATTAAATATGTTTAAGTTTGTTAAATTACGCTAGTTATAATAAAAGGGTCAAATACGTGCAGATAGGTTTTAATCATTTCATAAAACAGTTTTAAAATGCATGCGATTTTTTCATTTAATTCAATATCGGTTGTGGCCACCTCTGGCTCTAAGTAGTGCGTCAACGCGTCGACGCGTAGAATTGACGAAACGTTGAACAAGGTTATGATGATTGTTCCATTCCGCTATCAATGCATTTGTCAGTTGGAGGATATTCTGTGGGGCGTGATGTCGTCGGACATTTCTGCCAAGGACATCCCAGATATGCTCTATCGGATTCATATCTGGAGACATTTCTGGCCATTGCATGGTATTGACGTTGGCTGCAGCTAAGCGAGCGCGAGTTATCCTCGCCGTGTGAGGACGGGCGTTGTGTTGTTGAAACACAACGGGACCGTTTCTTTGCATAAACGGAATAGCCTCGGCATTTAAGCCTTGTTGATGTATGGGCGTTTAATAAGCCGGGTCTTTTGTCCACCCATTATCCCGCCCCATACCATGACGCTTCCACCACCAAAACGATCATGCTGTCTAACACAGACAGGTGCAAACCCTTCGCCCTTTCATACGACGGTTTATTCTTACACGTTCGTCGGCATGAGTGAGATTGTAACGAGACTCGCCTGTAAACACGACAGTATTCCAGTCACGTCGCCGCCAGTGACGGTGCGCACGTGCCCACCTAATACGGGCCTGACGATTGCGTAAAGTGAGAATACCGCGTGTTTATGTGTATATGGGCGTCGCGCTCTAATCGGGCGTTGTTGTGCGCGCAACCGATTGTGAATGGTTTGTGCAGTTACGTTAAACGTGGGCGCGGTCAAGATCACCGGTCTGAACCTGTCACGTAAGTGAGTTAAAACAATTGCACGGTCGTCCCTTTTGGTAGTTGCCCTTGACCTACCTGGCCTTGGACGATCGTGCACATCACCTGTAAGTCTATAGCGTCTTACAAGTTCATGAACTGTGTTGCGACTGCAGTTAAACGTTCTACTCTCGTCAACAACAGATACCCCACCCAGCAACATTTCTATGGCTTGATTTCTCTCTGCTTCTGATAAACGTGGCATTGTGAAATCTATCGACCTTAGGTCTGAATAACACTAAATTGTTACTGAACGCATGTATAGAGTCTTACATCACTGTCTATCTGAATCTTTCAGCATGCACGGGGTTCACGTGCAAAAACTAAAATTTTACGCTTAGCTGCATTCTACTGACAATACGCGGTCAAAACAAAAAAAATGTTTAGTGTATCTATAGTACATGAATACTCACTACACATGTTTTGAATTAAATCAAAAATTAGAAAATATTTAAAAGAAATAAAGTGTCAGGTTTCTATTTTTGTTGAGGATATGATGCTTAAAGAGCCAAAAACCGTGCATCTTTTTTCAATACATTTTTTCAGGAAATCCGACAATTCGTGCCCACGCCTCTTTAATTGGCTGTCTTAATTATTTATCTCGTATTTCGTTTTTTATTTTAATAGGCGTGAAGTTAAAGAACAAAAGAAAGTGCTTATCGTACATTTTGTTCAAGACATCCTGACATTTGTTTCCAAATTCTTTTACATTTTGCCTGTGATAATATGGATGATGTATACCTCTATAGACCTTCGTGCTTCCAGTGTGTTTTTGGTTCTTAGAATATATGATCACGCTGGTCTCATCGTTGGGAGAAGGATGTTTCGTGCGTATACTTTACTCGTTAAAACTAGGGATGTCAATTTACAAAGAATACAGGTATGAATTGCACATTCAAAGCTTCGTTTTAAAAACAATTTTAATTTATCGGTGAATACTGTACGAAGGGAATTCAAAATGTTCATCCAAAATATTATTTTTAGGAGCATCAAACACAAACGAGGTCCTGTGACATGGGAAATGCATTAACGAATAATGAGGAGCAATCGATTAAATGTTAAAAACACAAGCTGTTAAAGACGTTTTTTATGTATATATTACAAAAACGTTTTTAACATGTTGATTGCATTGCTAGTAGTCTTGAAGAGTTTACCTTTCAGATTCTGAAATTCTGTTATGCAAGGAGAAGCATGACTCGTGCCTTTGTCCGACCTAGTAATATTTCATTCTAGGACGGGGGAATTTTCAACTGAAAAATACATCTAAGCACGTAAAAGTTTATTCTTCATAGGTTTCACTGAATGTTGTATTTTGTGCTCTCAAAGTATCCACCTCTAACAGATATACAAAGTCTATAGACCCAATATTTTAAAGTATTTTCATAGTGATTTTAAGTATACTATGCAGACACTGGGATACTACAAATTCGATTTGTTTATGCTAAACAAATTCCCTAGCTTTAAAAACAAAAGGAAGCCGCACGGAGGATGGGTGAGCACAATGACCTATTTTGCTTCAGAAAGTTTAACATTACATAAGTCTTGTGTAACGACGCGTGGTCAAATAGCATTCTGACATTGGCCAGACCTGTTTTGGGTCTTTGTTTTGATAGTATTTGTTTAGTTTTCGAAGAACATTTGTCCGGTTAACTTTAATATTAACAGATTTGCCTTTAGGAACAACAACCTTAATGGCGCGATCCTGAGTTGTAATGATAATGCCATACATTACATTCTTTAAACTGATGTTCGAACCTCCTCCGTGGTCGAGGGGTTAGAGTCGATGACTTTTAATCCAGTTACCTCTCTGGCGTGGGTTCGATCCCCGGGAGATGCTTTGGTAGTTTAGCGCGGAAGAAGGTAGTCTAGTACTGGTGTAACTCTCCAGGAACGATGGTTAGGAAACTACCCGCCTATATGACTGAAATACTGTTGGGAAAAGGCGTAAAATGAAACAAACAAACAAACAAACTGATGGTCCTTTTTTTGCAACACATAGTCTTTTGCCAGACTTACCAGCCCAAACGTTGTTTTGAAATTGTTGCTATTATGGCTTACAAAATGAACCCCTGTTTCGTCACCAGTGACGACATTTGCCAAAGACTGTCAATTGTATTTAAAAACGGATTATGCAACAACTTAACGAATTGCACCCGAGCCTTTTCTGTTTATCTGACAGCAACGGGTTATCCATCTACTATAGATCTTTCACATTTTAAATCACATTTGTGAATGTTATTAGCTAATCCTAATGAGATGACATCGATTGTAGATATTTGCCTAGTGGTGTATCTTGCATCGGCATTATCTAGACTGACGTTGCATTTGTGGGCCGACGGGCATTTGACACATCTTCAGTCGAAATTAACCCACATTTGAATTTGTTAAACTAACAAATAATTGATGAAACAGACATTTTGTTTATACAGAACAGATGTTATCAAAAATGTCTTTATACCTTATGCAACGGCGAAAACGGTTTTTAATTCAAGACCGTATTTCAATGACATACTCTGATTGTCTACCAGTAATTTTTGTATTTCAGCACACCTGTAGAAAATGTATAGCGAGCTATTACAGAACTAAAGTGAACGGATTTTAATGAATTGTTTATCAATGATAAGCTTTATATTTACCCGATAACCTTGGCTTTCGCAATATTAAAAAATATAATAGTCTAGATGCATCATTTTTGACCACTCTCCGTTGTTAATATGAAAATTTATTTTGAACATTGAACTCTTTCTCTCTCTCAAATGTCTTATGTACCCAAACATTGCCTTCATTTATCTCATTGATTGTCATTTCAACATAAATTTTACTTCTGTTTTTTAATTCTCAAAGCGTATTTTTTTTATTAAACTAATTAAACTAACAATATTAAGCCAATGTATAATTCCAAGTGATAAGAATATTTATTTGTTATAAGAGTACAAAAAACATTCCTAGCAAGCCCAACACGACTTAATTTTTGATCACCGTCCAAAAGCTTGGTAACCACCTAACATAAACTTTGTTTTTGTTTACCTTCCCGCTCCTTAAACATTAACTTGATGATGCTATCGTCATTTCAAAGTGCTCTAATCACCGTGAAATTGTAAAAACGACACGTTAGAACTCCATAAAAATGTTGTACAATATGCTTTGGAATTACTCAAGAAGCTTTGATAATACCCTATGTCTAATCGATATATAATTCAAACGTAAACAACGCTTTTGGTTATATACGTAAATGAGCATTCATAACTAAACTTCATAACTAAACTACCAGTCTAATAGCAACAAATGTTTGGAAATTTGTGTTAAAAAAATTCTTTACACACGTGAAATTCTATAATTGAATATTCCGTGAATCACGTGATATCTGCTTTTTTAATCTATTGAACAATTTATGTTTAAGAACGGGTATAAAAAAATTGAAGAAAACAGGATAAAAAATAAATTTCGTTTTATGAAGATTTTAATTACAAAACAAATATCTTCTTTATTTACTTTTTTAGACATTTCTGCTGCTTGACAAACGAAAAGAGAGAACATATACAGATCCAGAAAATAAATCATTTGTTGATATCGACATTAAACGTGCACATTGGGAGGTAGTTAGCATGTTTTTTTTTCAACAGTAATTATAGGACAGAAACGAAATCAAATGTTTGCCATATTTTGAATTTTTATTGTTATTTATATTATATTACCGATTTAGCTCTAACTTCCAATGCAGTCAGATAAATCATACACTAAGTGTGTAAAAGAGCACATTGAATCAACGAAATTTCTTCCACACCCAAAGTCAATCGTAACAACTATAATAATTACTTACGCTGTTTAAATAAAGTCAAACCTGTGATAAATGTCACCTCTGAATAAAGAAAGGTCACTTTTTCGTTTTCCTTACTTAATAAAATAGAATGAAATAACATTTAAAAAAAGACTTTTTGTCTATAAAGACTATACATCTTGTCTCTCCCCTGGTAGGCCTTTATTAACAGTTTTAACTGTATATCATTATTCGTTTTTAAAGGACAACGAAAATACTACTTTAAGGAATATATCTGCAAAAGTTGAACAAGGAAAGGTGTTGACAATTGTAGGTCCAGTCGGTTGTGGAAAGGTGAGAATGTAGAAATTAATGTTCAATCACTGCATCCAAGTAACATCTCCTGCTGTAAAATAATAATAATAATAATATACAGTATGAAAAGCAACACTTAACATTTAATAAATAAAGCAATACAGTTGTATGACTTATACTATTATTATTATAGTTAACTGCATTTGGTTATATGGAAAATTTACTATTTGACATGTTTATTACATATCAAACATATTGGTTTTAGTTGATTGTTAAACAACTTCTTGCAATATGATTTAATCTTATTTGACTTTGCTATAACCAATATTGGTGTCATATTAGGATAAATGGAATGACCCTAGAAGAGCTCGAACCAATACCTGACTTTAAAAGCATACATGATAAGTATCATTAAGAGGGAACTTTTGCACATACTTCAATATGTACTTAGATCCGAGTCATAGACATCTCACATTCTAAATGATCATCTTGCTTCAGGACAACATGCTTTCAAAATAGTCATAGTGAAAAAGCCATAAGCAAATGAGTCTAAATTTTGACTTGTTATTAGTGTTTTAAACTTTAATAACCTTGATAGTATAGCTTAAGACATTGAGTCTTTTTTTAAACTCGTGTTGGATGCAATTTTTCTGTTTGCAAGTTTTTTTGCAAATATATCATTGTTTATAATTTAGTCTTCATTACTGATGGCAATACTAAATGAACTCGAATTAAAGGAAGGTAAAATAGATGTCCATGGTCGGATGGCATATGCAAGCCAACATCCGTGGCTATTCTCTGGAACTCTGAAACAGAATATTACATTTGAAAAAACAGTTGACAATGACAAATACCAGAAAATACTTCACGCATGTGCTTTAGACGAGGTAACACCTTCACTAAAAATGCTTAACATAGAGTTAACTATTTTAAATGACCCGCAAGTTTCTCAATATCAGTAACTGTTTTGGTAAACTAAAACTTCAATGGTGGATAACAATAGCTTTTGAAGTTTTGTTTATTTTCAATCAATTGAAAACACATATCCTTACATTCAAAAATATACCTTAATGCTGACTGCCTTAATATTTTCAAAAGAGCAAACGTTATTAATTTTATGACGCGTTAATGTTCATGAAAGCTATATTAAAAAATATGCTTTATATATTTTATGAAAAACTGGCTAAATTTATAATATTATAAATCGTCACCTTAGTGCAATAACTGTTTAAATCCTATTAAATTAAATAGAACTTATTCTGTTACTGCACTGAGGTGGCGAATTATTTTGCTCCCCTGTTACTTAAGGTATAAGGTAAAACCTTTTTTCAAAGTTTTGTAACGTTTTTTGTACACTGTTATTTTCTTTTGATATTATACATTCTACGTATTTATTGCATCAGGTAGCATAAATCTAGAGGCGCCCTGCTAAAAAGGCATATCAAGCTTTAGAAATGAACATTATTTTTTTCTATCTGAAGAAGGGCAGCCATGTGTTTTATAATTGTTTTTATGGCTTTAGAATAACTTGAAAAGAAAAGCGCTGAATGTGAAATAATTTGTATTTAACGTAAAGATTGCAAAAACAAAACAAAAAAACAAAAGTATATTTTAACATTCATACAAAGTACTTTTTCATTATTACTATTCAAATTGCCTAAATACAAAAGAAGGCTCAGCTATATGGCCATTGTGTAATGTTTTGGTTAGCTTTACAAGTAAACAAAAAAAAGGCTATTGTTTGCATTCTCGAGGCCTAATGTGCGGAAAAGACCACCTGTCTTAACCTTATTGTACTTAAACAAAAAATGTGCATATTCAAGTTTAAGGATTTCCAGAAGATGGACGACAAAGATGCAACATTGATAGGTGACCGTGGCGTTAACCTCAGCGGTGGCCAAAAGTCACGTGTCAATCTTGCACGTGCACTTTATTGCGATGCCGACATTTATTTGCTTGATGATCCGCTTAGTGCTGTTGACTCTGAGACCGGACAACATATCTATAAACAGTAAATATAAAAAACCGCTAAATTTGTACGTCTAAATATACACACAACATCTTAATACTTAAGAACCATAAAACTTATTCTCGATGCATAACAATTCCAAATTCAAAATGAAACATGAATTCATAAAACTTCAATATAAATTGAAGAACAAAAAAAAGAAAGAAAGAAAACAGACCAGGGAAATATAACAATAATGAGATGAAAAACTAAACACTGAAAGGTTACACAAACCTTTCGACACCTGTTGTTGTACGAGTACTAAATGGCTCTTTAGGGATTCTTTATATTTCTCTACTTTTCCATGAAAACATTGAAGTTTACATACCTTATTTTTATCATTCAGAATCAGTTCACGAGGATGTGTTTTTTATCGAGTCACCTTTCTATCTTTTCTTGTTACCAACTGTAACATTCATATTACCTGTCTTTTGTTTTCAAGTGTAATCCAAGGACTTCTGAAAGATAAAGTAACAATTTTGGTCACACATCAAAGGCAGTACATCAAACTCTCCGATGAAGTAATTTTCATTTCTAAGGTAAACCTACTCACTTTTATTTTTTGTTCGTCCCTAAAATAAGTTACTACGTTTTATGAAAATATAGATAATTCATTGAAATGTTACAAATAAAAAAAATGCTCGATGCTAAGTGCTTGCTATAGTATAACAGTTACTATTTTATTTTTCATAATTTAAATCTAATGTATCATATCTGCAATATCTTGCAGAATGGGACAATGGAGAGAAAAATTGGAAAAGAAAATCTTCAAATAATGAACGATTCAGAAATAGATGGATTTTCAGGACTTGACACGGAACACGTTGACATACAGTACGAACATGAGCAACTTAATGAATCAAACCTGTTTTGTTATATTTTGTTAATTAAAAACAATAAAAAAACAATGTTATAATTTGAACTGTAAAACTTTTTATTTCTTTATGCCGTATAAATAGAGAATACATGGTTGAGATCGGGATGGAGAAGGTTTATCCGGTGAGCGAGAAAGTGTATCGTGGCGAGGTTAAGCGAGCCAATATTCAGTTTCGCAGCGAACCGGATAAACCTTCTCCATCCCGAAATCAATCATGTATTTGATTTATCCTACTTTTGATCATGTTTTAGAATATTAAAATGGTTTCATTTTTACTTTTCCTGATAAAACCGCCTCTATATGAAGTTTTGTTTTGCTGCAAACCATGTAATGACGTAATGACTAGTGATAGATAAGTTTACCCGGCAAGGTTTTATCCAGTTGATAATATACACAGTTGCAGGATAAATCCTAATTCTTTATTATTATAGAATTTTTTTTTTAATTTTGATCTATGCAACCTGTAATGCAAGGAACTGTTCTAGTGCACAGTATGCTGTGGTAAAAACTTTAAAATACATAGTATAAGGTAAACATTTTCAAACAGGTAATGAAAGTACAAGAATAATCCATATGGTATTGGAAAAACGCTGTATTATTTATAATGATTATTGTAATGATAATGATTTATTATTATAGACACAGTAAATTTGAACGTATCAACAATGAACGGACGGGACTAGGGGACACTTCAAATGAATCGACAACATTAAAAATTGATGTGACGGTGAGTGTCAATACCTAACTGAGTTTAAAGGCTGTATTGAATTCACTTTGTCTTGTTCCATCTAGATGTTTTTTTCGTATACAGCTTTACAACAGTATTTTAAGTAATTTGAAACTTTCAAAACTATAAATATTGGGTCACATGATCTTGAAGTATGCCTAGTTTTACAAACTTTTATTTGAAATATTTTTCATTAGAAACTATCTTTTTTATCTTAATATTTTCATTTATTTTAAAATTTCTTATACCATAACAGGCATTTGAAAATGGTGTGAAATAAAATGGTTCTTTAAAAATGCACATTTATAGCATAAGAGGCCACACACACACAGGCCACACAAAAGGCAACAATTTGTTTGTTGGAACCACCTCTGACTTTAAACGACAGCTTGTTTGGGACATGCCTTTTACTAATCCAAGTTTAAAGTAACTCTTATGAAAAGGAAACAAATATCCAATATAAAGTAGTAATAACCTCCATATCCTTGTGGCAAGTATGGATATAGATATCTAGACCATTGTATTAGCCACATTTCCCAATTATCATGTATACCGGATTGCTCAAACTTTTAACAACCCTCTATGCTACCTGCTATTTTGAATGTTTGTTTTATCTTATATAGTTTACGTTTCCTTTTTTCATATAAAGGGTGATTAGATAGATTCGATTAGAGCATTAGTTTGATACATAGAATTTATTTGAATTGTCACAGACATTTCTTTTTACCATAGTTATGTTCATTTTAACTAACTTTTTCTGTTTTGGTATCTCATTTTTATGATAAAATTTAATATATTGTATACAATCGTCCTTGACCATTTGAAAGACTGTCAAAACGCTTTGGCGTTAAATCATGTTATATGGCATGATATCTTCCATGATAAGTAGACGACTTTTAGGTCGGTCGGTCAAAAATTAATGTCAACAACGTCTTGACCAAAGGCTTGTGAGGCAATTAAAACGTCACAGTTACTTTGACGTAGAAGTTATGATCCCAAATCAATAGGAGGCACAAACATGCTATGATTCATCTCTTCAAATATAAGGATACTAGAACAAACCGTTCTAGTTATTTGCTAGGATAAGTTTTAAGAAATCAACAATCTATGTTTGACCGACTAATCTAAAATAAAAAAAGTCAATTACTAGTCATGACCTATCTGTCCAAAAAATGCATTAGGTTTCGAGGGGGGGGGGGGGGTCGTCTTTCGAAGTTGGTATAAGAAAAAGTACATGATTCCCTACCGGCGCTCATTTTGATCCAATGGTCATAGTTTGAACAGTCTTAAAGAAATTAACTAGATAATGTTTTGCACAATATCTAAGCTCCAGCCCTTAGAGTTTCCGAGAAGATGTTTTGGATGTTTTTCTTTATACAAATTAAATTAATAACTTATAACTATTATTTCACGGTGACAAGAATTTTTTTACCCAAGGGTCATAATTTGAACAATCGTTGTTAAGGGAAATAACATTAGGTGATATTTCAGGCCAATGATTTAACTCTTTTTGCGGTGTTTCAAAACAGAAAATTGTTAAAATGTTTTACTGTATGCGTATAAAGAAAACTCCCGACAACGACCAGTGTCGCATCACAATTATAGCTGAATATGAGCCACTAAGCTGTTTTTATGTCAGCTAAAAAAGACGTATTCATTTACAATAAATGTAAGAATTTGCGTTCGATTTTCTTTGTAACATTATCCTTTCATTTTATGAGTAGGCTCAAACTCTTGAAACACGTCAAGAAGATGAGACGCGTAAGAAAACAGTGAAATTATCTGCATACTATAAATACTTCAAAGCTGGTGCAAGCGTCCCAGTTCTCCTTTTTATGAGCATTGCATTCTTTGCAACACAGGGGTCTTTTGATTTTGCTGACATATGGCTTTCAATTTGGTATGCAAGTTTATTTTTCAGTAAATATTTTTCATGAAATAACATTTTTTTTAACAATGTAAAAAAAGAAACAGAAATTGATGCTTTGAAGTAAACTGCTAACTTGAAAAAACACTGCAAGCTCTATTTTCTTGACAAAGAAGCATAAGCATAAGTATGATAGTTCATGTTTGTTTTATATCACATTTAGTTCTTGATATGATTAGATATTTGAATATATAAGCACGTCACATGAAAAATTAAATATAAATCGTAGAGAGTTGAAACTGGGTCATTCAATACATCAGAAAAGTTATGAAAAAAGCGTTGTTCTCATATGCAACATATTTGCTGTAGATACATTAAGCAATTGAAATAATAACAGATATACTTTTGACACTTTTTTTAAGGGCAAATGAAGAGGAAGATAAATATGCTGCTTTAATGACCCAAAACAAATCGTTAACCGAAGCTTTCGTAAACACAACAGAAGTGACCATACCGAACGTCAACACACATTTTAATCTAACAATATTGGTTATAATCGCAGTGGCTGTGATCCTATGTGGTCTTACACGTGCTTTACTGTTCTTAAATGTGACATTAAATGCATCACAAAAGCTTCATAACTGGATGTTTGACAGTATTCTAGCTACAGGAATTGATTTTTTCCAGAAAGACTCTATCACAGGTATTTTTGTTAGCTTCCCTTTGATTTTGTGTTTGTTCGTTTTTATTTTTTTTTACTCTAAGAAAAAATATAACTACATGTATTCATTTCACAAATTAAAAGGTAGTGTTTAAATGACGTTGAAAATGCGTGTCCTATTTGCACAGTATCTTATAAACACTAATTATGTATAACATTTCATGATTATACAAGAAAGATGTAACATGTTTTTGGAAGACATTGAAAAATTAAAATGTATCTCTGCTTTTTTCAGATTTCTTATTTTTTGCGTACATCAGTCTATGGTGTATGTATTTCTTATATTTGAAATTGAACCATGTAATTTACATTATGTTTTATTCTGCATTGATAACCGCTTTCCATCTACAACATCTTTAGTCCATCATATTGTTAAACGACCCGAGTATTTTTCACACTTTTTATTTAAATAATAGCAAATACATATTTTCTATTGCAGGACAAATTCAGAACAGATTTTCAAGAGATGTAAGACAACTTGACTCAACTTTACCTAAAACGCTATACGAATTTCTACAGGTAATTTATATGAACCTAACTGATGTTGTATGTTTGTAAAATTTAATTAACTGATGTCTAACAATGTCACTTTAGAAGGTCTTACACCTTTGTTTTTTTTTTTTTTCAACACTTGTATATAATGTTAGGATTAAAACCTTATAAAGAACAAAACTATAACATTAATGCAACAATTGGAAATGCAGGTATTTAAAACTTATCACAATTTTTGTTGTTGTTTTTCAGTGTGCGCTAATTGTGATTGGTATTGCTCTTGTTGCTGGTTTTACAGTTCCTTGGGTTTTAATTATTCTTGTCATACTAACTGTTTTGTTTGTAAGATGCAGACGGTATTACGTCAAAACGTCCTGCCAAATACATCGACTTATAAAGACAAGTAAGCCAATCCAGTTCCTAATTACTTTATCTAATTTGCATTATATTAGTTGAACAGATATAATTGTAAACAATTTCCTTTCTAGGAGCGTATTACATTTTTCAATACATGTGATTATTGAAACACGTATCTATGTATAATATCTTCATTTGGAGTTAATTTATACTGTTTTTAATATGTAAACGAAAACCAACACCCAAACGTTATGCAAATATTGAATTTGGATACCGTTTTCGAGGTATCTAAATGTCAACCAGTACTACAATGTCGGATATAAATATAAAGTGTGCGCATAGAACGAACATACCACAAAGTACATTTCTGTAAAATTCAATCTGAAACAACACAGTGTTTTGTACAATTTTAAATCGTTCTTATCGAAACTTAGTAATGATGTATTTTAGCTTTAAGCCCCGTAAAAGGTCATGCTACTTCTTCACAAGATGGAGTCTACACAATTCGGGCATGTAAAGCAGAAGGAAACATGATTGATCTGTATGATAGATTCCAAGATGAACATACCAAGGCCACGTCGCTTTCCCTGACATCTGAACGCTGGTTTGCAATAAGACTAGACCTTCTTTGCGCCATCTTTGTAGTTGCAGTATCATTATTTTGTGTTGCACAGAGTGATGGTTAGTTTACCTTTGACTCAATTTTTATATTTTAATAATTAAAAGTAAAAGATGAATATGAAATAAAATATTTTGTTAAGAAATTCAATTAATCGGAGAAAACAAAACTTCAACCCAATTTCTTATTCAGACAATATTTTCAAATAATTTAAATTTAATAGGTAAAAAATCAAAATATAGAAGTGGCTCACAAAAGTGTAGTATGGGATATTCAATACACAATAAAAGTTACTGTTCCAGTACTTTGATCTGTACAAAATCCAAAATATTTTAATTCTATTTTTCAGGACTGAATGCTGGTTTAGTTGGTCTTTCTGTTACATATGCTATGTCTTTAATGGCTTTATTTCAATGGTGTGTGCGACAGAGCGCAAATGTCGCTAACCAGGTAATATTTTAATTAATTCATTTGTTAAACATATTATTATGTTCCTCAGTGGCAAAACAGGAAATTTTGTTGGATAAATTCACATGCAATAAATATATTTTGATAAGAACAAGGCAATATAAAGTTGTATTTAGATGGAACAAACATAAAATGAATGTGCAATTTCAGTCAAGTACCAGTATCAATAGATTTAAATAAAATTATCAAATCATTGAAGAAATGTTCGAGGCAGGAATACCTGTTGTTATTTAATATACTCAATGATTATTGTTAACAAGTGTCTAGGGATCGATTTCGAGTTCGATAACAGCATGTATATAAAGTTGTCATTCAAATGCGTTGCAGATGGTTTCGGTTGAAAGCGTTTTAGAATACATTAAACTTACGCCTGAATGTACCACTGGTAAACCTCTTCCTCCTGAATGGCCAAAGAATGGTGTTATATCATTTGTATGGGCAAGTCTCAAATATCCCGGAACTGAACAGCTCGCTCTGAAAGACTTAAATTTCACCATCACAGATAAGGAAAAGGTGAGTTGTCGCCGTATTTTCACAACAGTTACATGAATAACGCGGGGTCAATATGTTCCGACAAAACGAATACACTTTTGTAACATAACATGCTTTTCAGAAAATGATTTGTCAATTCTTTCGTTTGCTTTAATTCAGAATAATTATGATGCAAATATGAAATGAGAGCAGCAAAAAATATTGCTATTGTATATGAAACAATTTATTGTCAAGAACTCCTTATGACAAAGGTAAATGAATATTTCTCCACGTTATAATCACAAAGAGCGGCAACATAACATGCAACATTAAAAAGAGGTAACCTAAATCTTACGTTACAACTTTGTCATACCAACTGCTTTCTTATGTACAATCATACAAACGAGCTACACATACAAATATGTTTTTTTTTCTGTTATTAAATGTTGTAGGTAGGAATTGTTGGCAGAACCGGAGCCGGCAAAAGCTCATTGATCACGATGTTATTCCGATTAGTAGAATCAAAAGGCAAGATTTTGATAGACGGTGAGGACATTAACGAAATAGAACTTCATACATTGAGACAGCAGATTGCCATTGTCCCACAGGTGTGATAATACCGATTGACATACTTCATGATAATAAATACCTCCTATTGTAGCAAGTAAACATGTGTTTTCATATGCCTGAGATCCACTTATCAAATTCTGATTCTTTTATTGACGGTGTAGTTATCTAATTTTATTTCACTTTCTGTTTTTTCTTCACTTAAACAAGCTCATAACCAATAAGCAGTTAAATTATCTTTCACAATCAAATAATGAAGCATTGATGTTAAAATAGAGCATTTGAACAAACGATTGATTTTTTTCCAAACAAAGGTGAAAGTAAAATAATGATTCAGTGTTTGAAAGTAGGCGACTGTACAGTCATTATTCAGACATGTATTCCTTTAAATAGGATATTAATTTAAAATGCATCTATCGTACATCCTTTGAACTGCCAATATAAAATTCTTTATTAACTATTTCAAGGATCCTGTTCTGTTCACGAGATCGTTGAGGGGAAATATAGATCCATTTAATCATTATCAAGATGAAGATATTTGGAATGCACTTAACGAGGTTTTTGTTCTGTTTATAATTACCTTATAATTACCTTAATAAAACATATTTTTATTTCAATGTTTCTTTTTCATTAATCTAGATTATGCAATTAAGTGTCTTTTTTAAATATCTGTGCCTGATTTATTTCCTTTACTGTTTTACTCATGTTCTTTATTTTCAATAAATATTAGCCAATAAGGCTATATTACCTTTGATCCTCAATAGAGAGCTATTTATATTTGTGTGTGAACACGATTATTTTATATGAAATGTAGAATTTTCTTTACTTGTGTTGACTGTGTTGTAACAATCTCTTGATATTTAACAAGAGGAATAACAAAATGATATTGAGAAAAGCAGGACTGGAGAGCTATTGTACAAAGTCATATTAGATCGAAAGTAACTTATATTGATTTATAAGACATTTCTTTTAACAACAGCCATATTTTGTTACTAGGTGCAGCTGAAAGAAGAGATTGAACGGTTAGGTGAAGGTCTGAACGTTAAAGTTGCTGAAGGTGGTAGTAATTTTAGTGTTGGACAACACCAGCTCATTTGCCTAGCACGAGTTCTTTTGCTAAATAGGAAAATAGTCATTATTGATGAAGCGACAGCAAATGTTGATAACCAGTACTTTATTATTATTCTTGTTCATCATTTGCAGCTCATTATTTACCTGCACATAATAAAACATATTTTTTTCAAGAACTAACAAAGAATTAAAGGTCAATATTGTAAATCTCGCATTTTAACATTAACAGAGTTACTTATCTGAATATCAAAATATGGCAGGATACACAATAACATTTACTATATCAATTTTCATGATTGTGAAAGGTGTCTTTGGAAATGACATCACTACAGTAACGGAAGTTAACGTAGTGTTACTTGTCTATTTAAATGTTCACTTATTTTAGATTATTATTCATTTCAGGACGGACGCTAAAATTCAAGGTGTAATTAAACAGAAATTTAAAAACTGTACAGTTCTTACTATTGCTCATAGATTGCAAACAGTTATGGATTCTCACAGAATTCTGGTATGGTTGATTTTTCTTATTTAGCAGTGCTTATGTGGGATTCTTTGTATAGATCTGTCTGAATCTGTTTTCTGAATATGACAATCTGACCAATATAAGTGCTTTTACAAATACCTGTATTAAATATTACAGAATAATATTTTAAAATTTTGTGTTAGTGCAAAAGTGACCGCAAAGGTTTTGATTATCTTATTGTTTGTCTTGTCAGTTATAGTTTTACACCCTTTAAATGATAAATTGATATATTAACAAGGTTCTTGACAAAGGAAATGCTACGTTTGGTGTCCCTCACCTGCTTCTCCAGGACAAAGATTGTAGTTTACTGAAGATGGTTGAGGAGACTGGAGAAATGATGGCATCGAGTCTTAAGAAAATTGCCAAGGAAGCATATGAGAGTCAATACGAACGTCTGCCTATATCAGATGATTTTGATAATGTAAATGCAGAAAATGTCTTGTATAAACGTACACATCAGGAAAGGAACGTAACTGAAGACAATGAGGAGGAAGCCAACGAAAAGACAAAACTTTTGCAATAAAAAATGTTCAAGATGCTACTGACTAAAAGGACGAATTGGAGTGTTTTACAAATACATGTTTGTTTCAAATATTAAAGACTTAGTTTAGATTAGCAAATATATTTACAAGATAATTTTTTTGACATTTTATTGTTGACATGTTTGTATGTTATCAAAGGTTTTTTTAATTAATTTATTGCTGATTATGGCATGTTATATAAGGCAAATGTACTAAAACAGTTTTAATGTGTCATGTACGTAATAACAAGCAAGTTAAATTTATTTTTGCTGTTTCTAAAAGATTAAGACAACAGACAAAATATTGCAGTATTCCTTGTATTTAATAGTTGTATTCGTCGTTTATATACTTCAACATAATGAACAAAATCATATAAACTTTTTGAAGGAAAAATATAATTGTTTAACAATGGCAATTTCCTGCTTTGATATAAAACAACTCATACGTTTGCATTTTTCAGACTTTTTGATAGTTATTTACATATTTATAACTTGATATCATAAAAGTTTTAGCATTGTCTATTTACATGAATCAAAATGTCTATTTACATGGAAATAATAAACATTCAAAAGGCATTAACTCAACACTTGGGCACATTTAAATTGTTGGTAACCTCAAAATCAGTTTTATTTTAGTTTAACTTCAATAATTGTAGGTAATGCAGTTTTTATTCATTATTTCATCATTAAATGATATTTTATTTACGATTCAAGCCGTCTTTATTGCGAACTTAAGAACATTTCAGGGACTTTAATGTTATTACGTCTGACATGACAATGTTTTTAATGTATGCAATGTATTTATGTAACCAGGAATCACTGAAAGACGGCAACATTATCTTTTCACTGGTCAGTTTATTATTTTATTGACGACAAACGACGTTGTGTTATACATTAATTTTATCACATAAACCGCGGCGCAAGAGTGTAATAAAGCCATTTAATAAAAACGATATAACACTAGACGATATTACACTAGTGTAATAACACTTTGACGTCACATCATTTGCACTATAAACATAGCGTTAAAGCGCTCTAATGTTAGCGTTACAATATAAGCGCGTCAAAGAAAAATGACTTTTGATAACAGTTTACCGTTCTTATTTTATATATGTGATAAATAGAATATTATATTCGTGTAGATTCAATACTAAATTTATTGAACTCGTTGAATAAAACAATATTATGCTGGCCAGAGGCTCGCATAATATGATTTTATTCAACTCGTTCAATAAATTTAGTATTAAACCTACACTCATTCAATATCCTCTATTTACTTGCAATTTAAGGAAAGTCCCAACTAATATGAACATATCAACTATCTGCCTCAATGGATTAAAGTCACGAGGTAAAAAACATATATAGAAATAGACTGACTGAAGTAGTTGACAAATAAAGAAAAAATAATTTTTTTTAGAGTTGTCTCTACATAGAATATACATGATTATGGTTTAGTTGGAATTTTGATAGAACTTAATATTAAAACATCAAAATTTCAATATTTGATTTGGTTAAAACGCTTTATATTTTACCATGTTACTGTTAGTACATTTTCATTGTGATTTGTTATTATTTTGTTGAATTAACTATTTTTATGCTCAAATATTTGCTTGTTGTTACTGAAATATTTGATATAATTCTAACGTCTTATTGCAGGACTTTTTTCTACTTATAATTATTCGGACTTATGTACTTGTTTATCTTAGAGAGTGTGAAAATAAAAGTTTTAACTTAGGTTTTTTTTAGGTTATTGGTTGTTATGAATTTAATTTACTTTTGAATGATACGACAATAATTATGATTTATAAATATATCTAGATTTATAACTTGATATCATAAAGTTTTGAGCATTGTCTATTTACTTGAAAATGTATATTTACATGGAATCAACTAACTTTCAAAAGGCATTAACTCAACACTTGGGCACATGGAAATTGTTGGTAACCTCAAAATCAGTTTTTTTAGTGTTAAGTACAATACTTGTAGGTAATGCATTTTTTTCTGTAATTTTATCATTAAATGATATTTTATTTAGACTACATTTAAACGATTCAAGCTGTCTATATTGCGAATTTAAGAACATTTCAGGGACAAATTTAATGTAATTACGTCTGACATGACAATGTTTTTAATGTATGCAATGTATTTATGTAACCAGGAATCACTAAAAGACGGCAACATTATCTTTTGACCGGTCAGTTTATTATAACATTGACAACAAACGACGCTGTGTTATAAAATTAATTTCACTTGCAATTTTTAGAGAAGTCCCAAATTATATGAACAGATCAAATATCTGCCTTAATAGATTAAAGTCAAGAGGAAAAACATACAATCATATAGAAATAAACTGACTGAAGTAGTTGACAAAAAAAGAAAGAAATTAATTTGAGACTTAATTTGCTTTTCAAAGAACTGAATTGTCTCTACATAGAATATACATTATGGTTT